CACACACACACACACACACACACACACACACACACACACACACACACGCTATCCTTCGTAAGGAAGTTGGTTTGGCTGGTTCGGTTTGGTTGTGACAGGGCCTCCCTGCACATTGGCATCAACGTTCTCAGGTGGGACTCAGCGGGTAGAGGGCCGGCCCAGGACGCACCAGGCCTCTATGTAAACAGGTCTTAGTGGTGATACCTGCCATCCCTCTAATTGGGAGCTAGAGGCAGGAGGGTCATGCGTTCGAGGTCAGTCTGGACCCCATGAACCTCTGTTCTAAAACCAAAACCCAAAAATCAATGAGAAGAAAAAGGACAAGGCTCTGAGGGTAGGCGCTTGCAGCCAAGCCTGACAGGCCCAGTTTGGTCTTCAGGACCCACAAGGTAGAGGGTATGGCTCCCATATGTCTATCCCAACATACCATCTGTGGGCACACACTTAGAATTAAATCTAAATAAAAATGTTAAGGGCTGGAGAGACGGTGAGGGAGGTAGCGCACTGACTGCTCTTGCATAAAACAAGGGTTCGATTCCCAGCACCCACGTGGTGGCTCATGTATAACTCCAACCTTCCCGTGAATCGGACGCCCTCTTCAGGCCTTGCGGGCACAGACAGACACCCACACGGAACTACACGGTGAGGACAGCCTGGTGCAGACGCTCACCTGGAAGACCTCCGCGCTGGTCCTCTCGTGTCTGCGCGCCAGCTCCGCCAGCTGCGCCTGCAGCTGGGCCACGTGCTCGCGCAGGCTGCCCAGCGCACGCTCGTGCTCGTCCGCAGGCACCGAGGCCCCGCGCACGCGCTCCAGCTCCTCGCGGGCGGCGGCGAGGGCGGCCCCGAGTTCCGCGGCCTGAGCCTCGGCGACCGACAGCGCCCGGCGCAGCTCGGCGGCCTCTGCGCCTGCGCGCTCGCCCGTGGCCGTGGCCGTGGCCAGCAGTTCCCGGAGCGCCTCCAGCTCGCGGCTTCGCCCCCGCGCCGCCTCCTCCGCCTCCGCCTCCGCCTCGGCGAACCGGCCCCTTGCGGCCTCCAGTTCGGCCGCGGCCTCCCTTTCCCGCCGGCGCAGCGCCTCCTCCAGGCCGCGGATCCGGGTCTCCAGCTCGGCCTGCAGCGCAGCCGCCGCCGCCCCCGGGGGCAGGACCTCAGCGCAGGGGCTCTCCCTGCCGGTGGCTGCGGCCTCCGTGGCCTCCATCCCAGGGGCCTGCGCGCCCGTGGCCTCCAGTGCCGTGGGCTGGGTGCCAGTGGCGTCCGTCACAGCTCCCTGCGTGCTAGTGGCCTCCACTGCCGTGGCCTGAGCTCCTGTGCTGTCTGCTGCCGCCATGGCCTGCGCTCCTGTAGCCTCGGTGTTGGCCTTCACTGCTGTGGCCTCCATGGTGTTGGCCTCCACTGCTATGGATTCTGTTGCCGTCGCCTGAACTCCCGTGACCTTCACTCCTATGACGTCCGCCACTGTGGCCTGCACTCCCGTGGTCTTCACTTCCGTGGCCTGTGCTCCTGTGGCTTGCACTCCCGTATCCCGCACTTCCTTGGCCTCTGCTCTGGTGGCCTCCATGTTTCTCATCCCTGGTGCTGGGAGCCCTGCTTGTTCCGCATCCTCTCCATCAGTCTTCATTCCTGGATTCTCTTTCCTGCCCGAAGCCTCTGCCGCCACTGGCTCACTTTCAGCATTGTCACCTACAGCTTTCGCATCTTGGGCCTCAGTCACAGTGGCTCTAGTGTCCATGGCCTCGGTTGACACTCCATCTTTCCCTGTGGCCTCTGAACCTGCAGCCTGAGGCTCCGTGGGTGCCACTTCTGAAAGCCCGGCTTCGCTGTTCACGATGCTCACGGAGCCTCCGGCTTGGAGTTCCGTTCCATTTGCAGTGGTATCTGGATACGTGGTGCCATTGACACTGGGTCCATTCTGGACACTGGGTCCATTCTGGATGGTGATACCCTTGTCCTTGCTCTCCGGGTGTGCGATCTCTTCCCCATGAGCCCTGGGCAGCGCCCTCTGCTGCTGCAGCTCATACACGGCCTCTGCGTGCTGCCTCCGGAGCTGCTCAAGCTCTGCCCGAAGGGAGTCGTACAGGACTAGGGGGACGACGTCAGGCTGACTGTCTTCCGCCATCTGTGCCTCGTCCTTCTCAAACTCCTCAAGGATCTGAGAGTGGGGAGGCAGGCAGGCTAGGAGGTGGCCTCCCCGTGTTCCCCGCCCACCCCCAGAGCCCCAGATTCCATTGCCTCAGATTCTCTACCTGGACCTTCTCCAGCAGCTCCTGGTTCTTCCTGGTGAGCTGAGCCACCTGCTCCTGTAGGGAAGCCACTATCTCCTCAGCTGATGGACTCAGATTCTTTGACAGCAGTGCTTCAGCCCCTGACGGAGTTGGGAAGAGCACTGAGTCAGGCTGGGGGCGTACACCATGAGGGCAGAGACAGGAGCCATTCAGCGGGGACCTCCCATTGCCTTGGACAGGTGCAGGAGGGGCACTCACTGCTTGTAGCGCCCTCTTGGCATTACACTTCCCGTCCACCCCTCAGAATCCCAGGTGGGCAGCAGTGAGGGTGTGGGGTTCAGAACTCACCTGGAAAGTCTGGCATCTCGCCCTCCTCATCCTGCAGGGTGGCTACGTCATAGCTGGTGTTTTCTCTCTCATTCTGGGGTTGGGATACAAAGTAGACCTTCAGGTCCTGCCCCTTGGCGTCCCAGTCACCTTCCAAACTGACAGGGGACTGTGAGGTCCATATATCCACACAACACTATTGGAGACTCCCATGGTGGAATGGCTGTATTCAGTGAGCATCCAAAATGGCCTTCCACCTCCTAATGAGCCGGGCGCATGCCTTTAATCCCAGCGCTCAGGGGGGCAGAGGCAGGGGGACCTCTGAGTTCCAGGCCAGCCTGGTCTACAGAGTGAGTCCAGGATAGCCAGGACTACACTGAGATGCCCTGTGGGGCAGGGGGGAGGAGCAGGGGTGGACCGGGGCCTTTGCACGTGCTAGGCAAGGACTTGTGACTGAAGGCCATTCCCAGCATAAGATCAAGGTTCTGGGTTCGTATCCCAGCACCTTCCAAAGTAGACGCTCATCTCTGTGTGTCTGTGTATTTCACATGTGGCCAGGACATTGTGGTTGCACCTTGGCGCCTGGTTGAAGCTCTGGCACCTCAGGGTTGGCCTGGCACGACAGAGACTCCTCCACACTCACCAAGCCCCTCCCACCCATCCTGTCTCCAGCAACCCCTGCCCTGGGTCTTCCCGTTCCTTTCTCTGGCCCAGCCCTATGCAGTGATCCCGCCATTTGTCCCTCCTAGCACGGGCACCACACACTTTGATGATGCCCTGCTCCTGCCCTTCCCAAGTCCTCACACCTCCCCACACCTCTACTGCCACTCCAGGCCCCAGCCCACCCAGCCTCTTGCCCTGCCCACACAGCAGCACCCTCCCCCCGCAGGCCCCTCCGGCTGAGGCTCTCGCTCCCAGGCCCCCCTACCTCCAGCAGGGACAGGCGGCTCTGCAGGCTCTCGACCTCCCGGCCCAGGCTCTCCTTCTCCTCCTGCTTCTCCGCTAGCAGCTGTTGCAGCTCCTGCACCTGCAGAGGTGGTAGATGAGCACCTGAGGACACTGGAGCACTGGAGCCCTGGCATCCGAGTACCCTCCCTCCCAGGCACTGTCTGCCCTCCCCACCTACCTGTCTCTCCAGGCTGTGTACTGAGCTGGCCTCTGCCTCCAGGGGCTGCGGGCAGAAGTGGTTGGGGCTAGACAGGGCTGGCCAGCCATGTGCCATCCAGTGCCTGGCAGCCATTTCTCTGTTCTCCACGTACAACGAGCACCTACTCTGTGCCCCGCTGACTGGGCATTCACGCTATGTGTCAGAGCCCGTTCTGTTCTCTCACTTTCCTCAAGGTGCTTTGGCCCAGTGCCCGCTCCATAGCAGCTCCTGTGCCAGGTCATTCATTCCTTCACTCATTCATGCCTTCACTCCTCACCATGGGCCAGTCATTCATCCAGTGTTATGTGCTCTAAGCTCAGAACCTTCACCTGCCCTCATGGGTGCCCCTTTGAGTGGTGGAGTGCTATGGTGAGAATGAAAGAAGCTGAAAATGAGGGTACAATTTTAAATAAGGTGGGCGGGGGAGGTGGAGGTTGGTAAAAGGCATAGGCTGTGAGGAAGGGAGCCTTGAGGACAGCTGGAGGGACAGCAGTTCTTACTGCAAACAGCGTGGGCAAAGGCCCTGTGCAGGGCGGAGTCTGGATCACTGGAAGGCCAGTGAGGGGGCCAAGTGTCAGAAGCAAAGGGAAGGCAGGAAAGAGGTGGAAGGAAGGACAGGAAGTACGGTATGGGTTCCCAGAGAGTTGCTCCTCCACCCAGGCCACAGGCCCTGCAGCCCCTCACCTCCTTCCTTCTTCGCTCCTTGTGCTGTTCCAGGCCCCTGATCTTCTGCAGGAGCCGGCCTCTCTCTTGCCTGAGGCGCACGATCTCCTCATAAGCATCCTGGTCGTCCTTTGCCCCAGCACATCAGGAGACAGTGCTTTAGGTGAAGTCTCTAGGTGGCACCACCCTCCCCCAGGCTACCCCCATCTCTTACAGGAACAGGCGTGCTGGCCGGCGGCTGGGGTGCCTTCCTCTTCTTGGGGGCCCCTCGCTTCTCATGGCTGGACACTGAGTTCTGGTGTGGGCACAGGGGAAGGTAGGACTCGGGCGCAGACCAGGATCCACACAGGGGTTGCAGTGTAGCCAGCCCCCAGCAGCCTCCGCTGCCCCTGACTTCCTATGCACTGATAGGCCCGTGTCCTCCCCACTCATTGTAGACCCCCCTAGCTCTATCGGCTTCTGGGTCATTTTGTATTCCCTGTGAAGCCTGAGACACAGAAGACCAGGGAGCATGGGAATGGAAAGTGGCCAGGCCAGCCTCTTCCTCAGCCTGAATCAGCCTTCAGCTGCACCATCCCCAGGGTGTAGGATTGCCAGCATTCACGTAACTGCCATGGGAGTGTGCACAGGGCAAGGGACTGTCACACCTTCCAGGTTCCTACCTGAGATGAGGCCTCTCCGGAATCATCCTCTAAAGAGGCTGGGGAGAGAGGGGAAACTGAGTCGGGCACCTAGTTCTGCATTCTCAGTTCCAGGAAGGACCCTGGTCAGCCTGGGGTATTCAGAGGGCTCTTCTGAAGCCTAAGTGCTTTTTTGGTTCATACTGAGAATCTCAGTCTGTATCCCGGGCTAGCCCCAAACCCAGATCTAACTGCTCTAGTTTCCTGGCTGTAGACCACAAAACCCAGCCTCTGATTCGGGGACATTAAGGTAGAAACCTACATAGGTGGAATCCTGGGTAAGAGGGGCCTTGGAACTCTCAGAAACTGAGGGCAATGGAGCTTCCAGATTGGGCTGGGCGTGTGGGTTGCCATCTTTTAGAAAAGGGAGAGTCTCTATATTAAGGGGGCTCCTTGAAAGTGCCCTGAGCAGGGGAACATGAAAATGTTCAGACTTCGTAGACTGGGGTGTCTCAAAACTATCAGTAAGCAAATAAGGGGATGACTAGAAACTGCCTACAAGGAGAACAGGGATAGGCTTGCACACCGCTGGGAGGGGAAGGGCGCCGGGCACACTCCTGTAGAAGCTGCAAGATGACTTTGTCCCCAGTCAGGGCCCCGTAGTGAGTGGCGTCCTGGCCCAGTGCATCAGTGATGCCCAGCTGGGCCCCACCCTGCAGGAGCACCTCGACGGTCTCCGGGCTGGCCCCCTCACACGCCAGCATCAAGGCTGTCCTGTGGAGTAAAGGGTCTGCTGAGGGGCGGAGGCTTGTCACCAGCCCCTGCACCCAGGCTGGGAAGGGAGGAAGAGGGTCACCAGCTCAGCAAGGTCCAGATACTTGCCCCAAGTCACACGGCATATGATGGTCAGGAGGGAAGGTGCTCACCTGCCTTGCAGGTCCTGGTCATTTATGGCAGCCCCCTGCTGTAGGAGGAGGCGGCACAGATCTGTGTGACACATCTGAGCCGCTATGATGAGGGGCGTGGCACCCGACTGGTGGGGAGGATGACATGATATGAGTGATGGCTGCCTAGAGTCTCACCCGCACTTTGCAGATGATGCCTGGAATGCCGCCCGTGGTGAGGACCTACCACAAGAATAACACTGTATCCCCCCCCTGCCCCCAACACGATCCCAGCAGCTCACCCGGTCCCGGGGGTTCATATGTGCCTTAAAGGAACAGAGCAGCTTTGAGCAGGAGAGACAACCACCAGCCGCTAAGGAAGACAAGAGAGAGGAGAGTGGGCCGGAGAGGCAGCTGCTTGCCAGGAACACCACTGCGTTTGTCGCTGAGGCGGAGTCACAGTCTGTAGCCTAGGCTGGCCTGGAACTCACTGTGCAGCATGGCGGCTAATACCGGTCATCCTAGCAGCTGCGAGGCCCAGGTTGGAGGAGGGCTGCACGTTAGGGGCTACAGAGTGAGACCATGCCTCAACCAAAACCTCAGCAATAGTTAGGGCACCAGCTGCTCCTGCAGAGGACCCAGGTTCAATTCCCAGCACCCACATGACATCTCTCAACAGTCTGACTCCAGATCTAGGGGATCCAATGCCCCCTTTCTGGCCCCTGATGGCACCAGGAACTTATGTGGAACAGGCATCCACGCAAATAAAACACACACACATAAAAAAAAATTAAAATATTTTTTGAAAGAATTTAAAACAAAAAACTTAAAAAAAAAAAAAAAAAACAAAACAAAAACCAACTAGCTCAGAAAGATGGTAAAGATGCTTGCTGTAAAGACCTGAGTGCAGTCTCCAGGACCCACCCGGTGGAAGAGAAAGTCAGCTCCCAAGAGTTGTCTTCCGCTTGCCGCTCAAGCGTCATGACATGAATGATGCTTCCCTCACGCTATATGAATAAATGCAATTTAGTTTTCAAGACATCCCTAGAGGGCCTGTGGTACTGACACCACCTGCCCGTGCCACTCCGACCAACGCTCCCAAAGTCAACCCAAGTGTGCTGTCCCCAGGCAGGACATGGGCTCCAGTAAGTGCCTGCGTGGGAAGCCTGGGTCTGGGGGTGTGCTGGAGGGGCTACCCAGGAGATCCTGGACGGAATTAGAATGCTGGGCCCCAGCCTCGTCCACCACAGGCTGTGCTTTGGGGTCCAAGAAATAGGGTTCTTCCACTGGTACATGAGCCTGACTCTATGCAATGGCAAAAGGGCCTGGTTCAGGTGGGGACTGCATTTGAGCTGAGCCCTGGGCTGCACACAGGTCAGAACAAGAAACGTAACTGGAGATAGTGACCCACATCCGTCACCCAGAAACTGAGGCTGACCCAGTAGGACCCCGACTTCAAGGCTAGCCTCGTCTACAGAGAGACTCTTTATCAAAATAAGTAAGGTCAGGGCTGGGAAGATGGCTCAGTCTCTAATCTCTGAGAGTGAGATCCTGAGTTAATTCCCCCAGCCCTCATAAGTCAGGAATGGGGGTGCATCTTTGTGACCCCAGCACCAGGGCGGCATCCAAAGTTTACAAGAGGATCCAAAGTTTACTGGTCAGCCAGCCTAGCTTAAATTGTGAAGACCAGGTTCAGAGAGAGACGCTAGCTCAGAGGGGGGAGGACTGCCTGACAACCCCACCCAGAGAGACACATGGACACACATGCCATAAAAGACTAAGAAAAGCTCAGGACCTGCAGATCAGAGGTAGAGCCCTCCCCTGCACCCCACCCCCGCCCCACCCCGCCCCTCGTTAGAATTCCCCAGTGAGAGGCTGGCGGAGCGCCTTCCTTGAATTTTCGAGGCCCTGGCTGCACCCACCTGCATGATGCAGGGCCGTCCACCCACTGCTGTCCTCAATGTCCACCACGCAGGAAACCTGGGAAGAAGTGACAGGTGACGTCATCTCTGTTTCCTGAGCGGCTGACTCCTCCCGTCCCCCCCTCTCTTGGGCTGTCTCTCTCGTTCTGTTCCTTAAATTGCTATTCTGTTGCCTTTGTTTCTGTGTGTGTGCATGCCCACTTAGGGTACAGCATGTTTCAAAGGTTCCCAAGGAACAAAATCAGAGCTCATCAGGCTTGGGGCAAATGCTTCTACCTCCTGAGACATCTCTCACTGACCCACAGATTCGTAGATTTTAAGATTTATTTTATTTGTGCCTGTGTGTGCATGCCCATGACTAAATCCATGAGTGCAGTGCCTGGGATGAGCAAAAGGGGGCGTCAGTCAGATCTCCTGGAACTGGAGTTATGCCCGGTTGTGAAATGCCATGAGAGTGCTGGGAATTGAATCCCAGTCCTCTGCAAAAGCAGCCAGTGCTCTAACCACTGAGCTGTTTCTTCAGCCCCTTGGGCTCTTTTTCTTCCTTCCTCCATCTTTCTGACCTGAGAACCCAAGTTCCAGCCCTCCAGGTGACCCTGCTCTGATGACAGTAACAAAACGGGGCAGGGCTGAGGGCCAGGAGCAGCTGGGGATTAGGGAGGTAGCTGGAGTTCGTGTGCACAGAAGATGGGTATCAGGACCTCCAGGAGTTGCTTCAGGCACTCAGGGTGCCCATACTTGGCTGCCAGGTGAAGGGCATTGTAACCTAGGGGGGAAGAGAAGGGCAGATGTCCTCCAGCTGTGACCAGCTCGCTCCGCAGCCTGAACTTTCAGACTTGGCTGCTTTTTAAACCATTCTGTTTCCAAAGACCTTTTTACTGCTGTATTTGTTTGCTATCTTTGTTTTTGAGACAGTGTCCCAAGTAGCCCAGACTGGTCTGGAACTCACAGGGATCGACTGGCCTGTCTCTGCCACCCGGATGTTGCAATCAAAGGTTTTATTTTATTTTATTTTATTTTATTTTATTTTATTTTATTTTATTTTTTAGCACAGTCTCATATACCTCAGGTTGGTCTCTAGTTCATAAGTATCTGAGAATCACCTTGAACTCCCAATCCTCCTGCCTCCACACCAGTGCCAGACGACAGGCGTGTGCCAGTGGTATGGAGGACAGACCTCAGGGCTTCCCTCTTATTCGGTGAATGTCCAACCTACAGCGCAGTGTGGACAGCCACACTTGTGGTCCCTGCCCTAGACAGCCCTGCCGCCCACCCAGGGGCGTGTCTGGAAGTACCTGCTCCGTCCGTGCTCATGACGTCGGCACCCTGAGCCAGCATCACCTCCAGGCAGCCCGCCGAACCCCTCATGGCTGCTAAGTGGAATCTGGAGGCAGGAGTCAGGGGTCAGACCCAGAAGTGTCCAAAGCCACCCCAGCCCAGGCTTGGACACTCACGCAGACTTGCCCTCGGGGTCCAGTTTTGTGGGCACCAGCCCCTTGTGGGCGATCAACGAGGCCACTCTGGCGACATCGTTGTTCTCCACAGCCTGAAGCAGGCGCTGGTCGCTTTTGCCCCAGTCTTGGCCCTGCAGCGGCACACCCAGAAGTGCGAGGGACCGAGTGGGCCACTCTCCCCTCCCCACCGAGGAACAGCTGCTCCGGGCTCTCACCCACCCACCCCTGGGCACTTGCCTGACGCCTGCCTCTGGCTGCGGGTTTCGGGATAGGGCACGGGCCACAGGGCGGGCAGGAGCCGAGGTCGGTGGGGCTGAGCCGGAGCTGTGGGGTAGGTGGTCCTGGGCTGGGGGCTTCGAGACGGCGTCTCTGAAACCTGCATCCCCCAGCATGTATCTCCAGGCCCACCACCAGAGCGGCTTCCAAACACCAACCCTCAAACCACCTCCCCTCAGTGTGCCTTAATCCTAAATTGCTTTTGTTCTCAACGGGGTTTCTCTGTCCTGGACTCGCTTTGTAGACCAGGCTGGCCTCGAAGTCACAGAGATCTGCCTGTCTCTGCCTCCCCCAGTGCTGCGGTCACAGGCATGCCTCAGAGCGCCTGGCTCCAGCATTTCTTCTGTGGACCAGGCTAGTTCAAAACTCACAGAGATAGGCCTGCCTCTGCCCCAAAGTGCTGGGATTAAAGGTGAGGTCCTCAATGCCCCAGCTCTGGTTTCGGTTTTAGAGTAACAGTCGGGTGTCATGTAGCCCAGGCTGGCCTCAAATTCCCTGTGAGTCAAGGATCACCTTGAATTCCTGATGCTCCTGCTTTTCCCTCCCCAGGGCTAGGATAAAAGGTGTGGACCGTGGGATGGAAACCAGGGCTGGGTGGCTACTAAACTCTGCCCGCTGGGCCGTCGCAAAGCCGTTCACATGTATTTTACTGTTGTTTAGTTTTTTGAGACAGGGTGTCACTATGTCACTCAAAGATCCCTGCCTCAACCTCCGAATGCTTCTGCAAACCATCCTCCAGTGCCCCCTGAGCCCACGACCTCGCCCCCGCCCTTCACAGCTGCTTTGCCAAAGCTCCATCATGCCCCAGCAGCACGGACAGTTCCCAAGTCACTGTCCGCAGTGTCCTCCAAGCCGGGCATCCCGCAATGCCCTGCAGACCCCAAGTCCGCACAGATTCCCAGGGCGCCGCCCTCCGCGTCCTGCCGGGGGACCCCAGGTGCCCCGCCAGGCCGAGCATCTTCCCAGGAGTAAGGGGAAGGCGCAGAGGGACCCAAACGCCTACCGCGGAGGACGTAGCAGCGCACAGGCACAGCTGCTTCATGGCAAACGGGAGAACGGCGGGGCCAGGACAGGCCGCTCCTACCTCCCCAGGCTCGTGGCCCCGCCCTCATCCTCCAGCACGGGACCCTCCCCCCTCCTCTCAAGGTTCAGCACCTTCTCCACCTCTGACCGCCTCGCCAGGCACAGGCCCCGCCCAGCTCCTCCCCCACCCCACACGCCACACCAGCTCAGGCCCCGCCCACATCCTTTCCATCTTCCAGGCTGCTTCCCCTTTCCCCAAGAATTCCCACCCCTGGTGTGGCCCGCTCTCCCTCATCCCACCTGCAGGCCCCGCCCCCTCTCCTACCGCTCGGTTCCTGTTGGGTGCCAGCCCGCTAGCGCCTCACCTTGCGCTTCTTCCTGGCAGGTGGCCCATTATCTTCCATTCATTCATACATTCACGCCTATCTTTCATTCATTCGTTCACCCATCATTCCACACACTCATTCATACATTTGTTAATGTTTTCATACACCCATTCACTCGTTCATTTCCTCACCACCCATTCACTAACCCATCTTTTCATTGGCAGATGCATTGGCTCACTCATTCCTTCACCCACTTACACATCCTCTCTCACCCATTCACTTCTTCCCTGGCCTACCGGTCCATCCATGACTCCTTCATCCTTGGCTCCCGTCCAGCGGCCCTCGAGACACTTGAACCCCAAGCCTGCCCCGCTGGTATTCACCTATGGGATTGACCTAGACCTCACCCGCCCTCTTCACATGCGCAACGGGTTTCACATAGACTTGCCAGACAGCTCTGGAGACCGAGTGGAGCCTGGGCCAGACGCGCCTCCCTGCACAGGCCCGTTTCTCAGTGAGCATACAACAAAAGCTTCACGTCGCTCAGCAGGCACGCGGAACCGGCCCTGAGCACAGCTCCCAGGCTGGGCCGTGGGAATCAGTGCATGTATCATTAGATCAACTGAAAGAGAGGAACGTGCAGCCCCCATTTCTGCTCCAGGGTCTTTGAGCACTTCTCCCGCCTTGTCTGGAATTAGAGCCCTCCACAAAAGACCCACAGAGGCATCCCTGGCCCACAGCCTGACACCCAGAGGAAGGGCAGGGGAAGTTGGCACCATGTTATTGAGTGATTGCTGAATGCCTTTGGGGACAAGGGAACAGGCAGCAACACAAGAGAGGAGCTGTGGAATGGAAGTTGCCAGAGGGGCAGAACTTGGAGTGAAGTGAGGAGCTTACTCGGTTGCCTTGCACACACACACACCACCTTTTTTCTAAGAGAATACTGAGCACACCTTTAATCCCAGCATTTGAGAGGCAGAGGCAGGAGGATCTCTGAGTTTGAGGCCAGCCTGGTCTACAGAGTGAGTTCCAGGACAGCCAGGGCTACACAACCACCACCTTTAAAAGTATCTGTCATTGCACTGGAGGGATTTTCCTCAAATAAGGTCCAAAGATCAAAGAGGGTGCCCCCATAATTCCCACTGTATGCAAGGGAAACTGAGGCCTAGAGCCCACTGCACCCTTGCAGAAGTCTTGGAGGACAGCATGGGAACTGGGGCCCAAGCTAACATTTGCTGGGCTGCAGCCTGGCATTTGGCCACCACAGGAGGGGACCCCAAGGCCCAGGGCGGCTCCCAGGCAGCCGTGGGTGTTCGCTTTCTTCCCTAGGGGCTGCAGTGACAAAAGCCGGGCTTCATTCTGGCTGCCCAGTGGAAACCGGAGAAGGGCGGGCAGAGGTGGTGCAAGCTGGTGCAGGCTGGGAGGGGAGGTCCAGACCTGCCATCTGCTGCCCAGGCTGGCCCAGTGCCAACACCCCTGCCCCTCCCTACCTTGACACTGCCCCTTCAGTGCCCCACAGAGACAAACACTCGTCTCAAACTAGGTGTCTCTTGCCAGAGGTGGGATGCAAGGTTTTGAAATAATTAAGCTTTTTAAATAGATGGATCTTTTTCGAGACAGTTTTTCTGTATAGCCCTGGCTGTTCTGGAACTCACTCTGTAGCCCAGGCTGGCCTCGAACTCAGAGATCAGCCTGTCTCTGCCTCCGAGTGCTGGGATTAAAGGCGTGCGCCATCACAGCTGGCCTAATTCAGCTTTTCAGAAAATAGGTTTTTACTAATTTAAAATGACAGCAACGCGTGTGCACACACGCACGGAGGCAGAGGGCGGGGGCCATTTTGTGGAGTCATCTTCTCCTTCCACCATATGGGTTCTGAGGACTAAACTCAGGAGAGACGGCTCAGCTGTCAGAGCACTGGCTGCTCCGCAGAGGATCCGGTTTGGTTCCCAGCACCCACATGGCGCCTCACAACCACCTGTGACTCCAACTCCTTAGTGACCCGCCGCCCCTTCTGGCTTCTGGGGGAATTGCACCCGCGTGCACAGACGGACATTCGGGCAACACTGCCCCCACACAAAATAACAAACTATACTTCTAAAACCCTCAGGTCTGCATGATCGGCTGCAAGCACCTTTCCCCGCTGAGCCATCTTGCCAGCCTTTTGCAATGACTTGGTTTCCAACTGACTGTGATAACCAGAGATTCTAAAAAAAAAAAAAAAACTTACCTGAGGCAATGAGGGACCAGGTGGAAAATATTAGGGACCAATCCAGCCTTACTGTGTAGGAAAGCATCTGCTCACTCTCTCTCTCTCAACAAACCCTTCCACCGCCATTCCCCCTGCAGGTCACACCCACTGGCACTCAGCTCCCACAGGAGGCAGGCGTGTCGCTTTCTAGCTGTGTGACTTTGGAGGCTTCCACACCCTCCCTGAGGCTCCCTGCATGTTTCAAATGCTGACGATATAAGTTCATTCCTTGAAGACTCAGTGTGAGTGGGCGGCCAGGGCTCACAGCGCAGAGCACTTAAATTCAGACCAATTAAAATGAAAACGGCTGGAGAGAGTTGGCTGTCTATCAGCGACTCCTTGCCAGGATGTGCAAAGGCCCTGCTTCCACCTGGGGGGGGGGGCGGCAGGGGAGGGAGGGAACGAGGCCACGGTGGCCACTATGACCTGGAGTTGGGGTGGGAGAGCAGAATTGGGCCGTCGGTGGGCCCAAGTGCGAGGTCTGGATTTGGCTCTGAGAAACTGGACCACGAGGCTGGGGCCAAGGAGGTGGGGAGAAGAAGGTAGAGCCTAGAGACAGAGCCGTGGGCCCGCGGGTTCTGAGCCAGAGTCGGGGCTCGAGCAGGAGGTCAGACTGGTGGACTCATGCCCTCCACCAGGCCTGCAGACTCACCTCTGTCTTCTTGAACCGCGCACGGAGGGTCTTCATCACGCCGGCTGGGGCCTCTAGTCCTGGAGCTGAGGAATACGTGGGTGGGTGAGGGATGCCGTGCCTGCGTGGTTAGCCACAACACAGCCTGGGCAGATCGCCTGTCTGCTGTGTATCGTGCAGTTACTCGCCCTCTCTGAGCAACCTGTCCTCAGCTGTAAACAGAGACAATGACTCCTCCGTGGCTGGGCAGCTGTGAGTACTCTCTGCAGCCCCCGGAAGCAGGCTGACGGACAGTAATGCTCACGCATCACCACAACCACCAGCAGCTCATACTACTCTGCTGCCTGGTATTTGTGCAATGCCATGAACTAACACACACACACACTTCTCTGTGTAACTCCTGTTCATAGAAGCCCACGGGCTGACCAGTGCTGTCTGTCTCTCCCAGATGGAACCAACTCTACCTTCCAAAATGGAGCATCCTGCGCTCTCCCTGTCTGGGTCTCTTCCTCTACCTCTAACCTGGCTTCTCAGGTAATGGCGCTGCAGGGGAGGGGACACTGCACAGTCAGTCCTTGCAGGAAAGTCCAGTCCCAACTGTCACGGCTCTTGGTAAGCGAGAGCCGTCTATTCCGGGCAGATCCTCCCACCCCACCCCACCCACCCATCATCCACCCATCATCCACCCATCATCCATCCACCCATCCATCCATCCACCCACCCATCCTCCCACAACACCCCCACCCATCCACCCATCCATCCATCCACCCACCCATCCTCCCACAACACCCCCACCCATCCATCCACCCACCCACCCACCCACCCATCCATCCACCCACCCACCCATCCATCCATCCACCCACCCACCCATCCATCCATCCACCCACCCACCCATCTACCCACCCATCCATCCACCCACCCACCCACCCATCCACCCTACCATCCATCCACTCACCCACCCATCCATCCACCCTACCATCCATCCGTCCATCCATCCACCCATCCACCCATCCATCCATGCATCCATCCATCTGTTCTTCCACCCATCCACCCACTGATCCTGCCTCCTCTACTAATCAGTGTGACGGTTCATTGTCACCCCACACTGTAAAGTTCAATCACACCCAAGGGTGGGGAACAGGACACCCAATAGAGTCGTCTACATGTTTCCAGTCGGGAGGGAATGTGTCATGGCGTTGAAGAAAGCCTGTGAATTAGGGTCTCCCTCCTGGAAGAGGTGACCGCAGCCCAGGTCCAGTGGCCTGTGGGTTCACACAGTGGTTCAAGGAGGAGACTGCACACTGCGCCAGGGCCGCGACTGGCGGGTGGGGTGTGTGTACCTGTCACGAGCGTGCAGGTGGATGTGTTCGGAGTGTCGCAGGTAGCACCCCACGGCACAACACCAGGACCCAGGCCTCCCCTTCCTCGGGACCCAGGGCAAGGTCTGCCTTGGCCTCCCTCACCCTCATGCCCCTACCTCAGGGCACTCCAGGCTGGAACCCAGAGTCCACCGCAGCCTCTCTGGTTACCCGCTCCAGCTGCAAGCTGCCAGCAGTAGAGTCGGGGTGACACCCGATCAGGTTGGGGGGGAGGGTGGAGCGTCTGTCCCGGGGGACGGGATGAGCAGGGGAGGAGACAGCTGCTGTTGGCCAGCGTGCTCAGGTGGGCACGGCCTCTCCCATTGGTCTGTGCGCTCCTGCGTCCTGGAAGCCTTTCTGGGGGTCCCCACAGGGCGGTCAGGAGGCTCCTGTAGTCACGTAGTGCCCTTCACCCGGGGCCCTACGCACCATCACCATGACCTAGTGCTGTATCTGTGACCACCAACAGGCACAGGGGTCAGGAGGGTGCCTCCCAGTCTTTAGATGGCTACAGATTTGTGCGCCCTCGGTCTCCCCTCTTCATCTCTTTCCCTGTAAGTCTGGGCACCTCTGTGTGGCTCGGTTCTGGGGATCTGACCCCCAGGATGCTGTGTGCCATCGCAGGAAGCGCACCGCAGAAACTAAACGGGAAATGTTAGCAGGAGTCCAGGGATCACCCCTCATTTTAGCCTAAGGCGCAGAGTCCCACGGCAGAGCCCCAAAGCCTAGGGTCTCATGTCGCCTAGAGTGGCTTCGAACTTGCTGTCCCTCCCACCAGCACGCGGGCGGGACTCTGCCCACGGATTTCAGCCCTAGGGGGATTTGCTTTGGCTTGGTTTCAGAGTTTTGTTGCCGATTTTGTTTCTGTTTTTGAAACAGGGTCTCACTACACAGCAGTGGTGGGAGCGGGGACTCCCAATCCACCTGCCTCAGCCCCATCAACTTCCCGGCCCTGGTCCCCTACAGCCCGCGCCCAGGCCTGAGAAAAGCACAGCAGTCAGCGAGGCGCATGCGTCCTAGGGAGGACGCTTCTTTCCCCAGCCTACATCCCACCCCGGCTCGGAACTAGAGAGGGCGGCGCCTCTTTCCCTGCCCCACTTCCGGCGGAAAGCGGCCTCAACAAGGGAAACTTTATTGTTCCCGTGCGGCGGCGCTTGCGACGATGTCGGTGAATTATGCAGCGGGGCTGTCGCCGTACGCGGATAAGGGCAAGTGCGGGCTGCCCGAGGTGAGGGCCGGGGGGTCCGCGTCTCCGGAAGACCCTAGGCGGGCAGCGGCCGGGCAGAGCGGGGCATTGTGGGAACAGCAAGAAGCGCAGAGTCTAGACAACGAGAGGGACTTCCCCGGAAGGAGGGGGCGGGAAGTGACGCCCCCTGCTTGTCCCGGGTGACACAGAGAGACCTGGGACAGGGAAGGAGTGAGGGGACAAGACCCAAACGCCAGGCCGGGCAGTGGGCACTGTAATACAATGAGGGTGGTGGGGAAGCGACCAAGTGGGCTTGTCAGGGAGAACTTGGAGCTGTGGGAAGGGCAGAATTCTGCGGGACCGGAATTCCGCACCCGCTTCTGGGGGGCATCCCTGTACCCCACCTCTGGCTCTCCTCGCTGAGGCTGGGTCAGAGGGACTCCGAGGGTGGGACTATCAGTCTTTATTGTTTCTGAGACGGGGATGTGTCCGGAGGGTCTCTTTGTAGCTCAGGCCGGCCTCGAACACACAGAGATCCTCATGCCTCTGCCTCCTGAGTGCAGGTATTAAAGGCCTGTGCCACCGTGCCCTGCTAAGAGCCTGTAGACAAATGAGGCCGCATCTTGATGTAAGGGAGAGAGACAGGAGTTATCTAAAGTCAGGGGTCAGGGATGACGTCACTGGGGTCATGTGAACCACCACCTGATGGAGGCCAAGGAGAGCGGTGCCTTCTGGAACAGCAGGCTGGGAAGCAGGCTCAGCACGTGCTGAGGCCCTGGGGTAGGACAGAGCCACGGGCCTTTTCGGCTGGAACTGAGGGATGTTGGGGGGTATGGGGCGACAGAGCGTTGACCCCTGCCACTTGGGAGGCACATGTTGACCGCTCCTGCCCTCTAATCCCCCAGATCTTCGACCCCCCAGAGGAGCTGGAGCGCAAAGTGTGGGAGCTGGCTCGGCTGATGTGGCAGTCCTCCAGCGTGGTCTTCCACACAGGCGCCGGCATCAGCACCGCCTCTGGCATCCCCGACTTCAGGTCGGTGAACAAGGAGGGGAAACTGAGGCAGGGCTCTTGCTGATACCTCTGGGGACTAAGGTGAGGTGGGAGAGGGACCTTTCCGTTTTCCTATGCCTCTGGAAGGCCCAGCAGAAACTCCACTTGCCTAATAGCTGCAAGGGATCCTGGAAAATGTACTCTTCGTGTGGCTCAGGCCAGCCCCTGGGTTTTGTAGGGACGGAGTGGCTTTGTTGTCCATAACCTTCTGTGGCTCCCTATGACCACTGCAGAGCATCCTGGGATACCAAAGCCAGTCCAGACTGGTCCTCAGCCGCAGCTCCCTGAGCTCCCTGCCTTTGTTTACCTCCAGGCCCTGAGCCTCTCAGCCTCCTTCATGAAGACTTCCTCCTCTTTCCATAGAGCCCTTTCCTACCTGGCTGCCAGTGTCTCCCCCACAGATTCCATAACTGACGATCAAGCAGAGCTGTGGGCCGCTGGGACCCCAACATCACCCAGCCTGGGCTGTCGTCAGCACTAATGGGGAGAGTCCGGAAAATCAATTTTTAACCTCTGTGCCCTTTTCTCTTCCTCCATCTGCTCGCTGTCCTCAGGGGTCCCCATGGCGTGTGGACCATGGAGGAGCGTGGCCTGGCGCCCAAGTTTGACACCACCTTCGAGAGTGCGCGGCCCTCGAAGACCCACATGGCCCTGGTGCAGCTGGAACGCGTGGGCTTCCTCAGCTTCCTGGTCAGCCAGAACGTGGATGGGCTGCACGTGCGCTCTGGCTTCCCCAGGTCAGACGGGGGCGGACCGAGGAGTGTGGCGCTGTTGCCTCCCCCTCGAGGAACAGGGTGCCTGAACTCACAAGCACTGGAAAGAGTTGGGAAGGCCAGAGCCCAGAGCAGGGCAGCACTTGGTCAGCTGGGGGGTTCTAGGCAGAGATCCATCTTCCCAGCCACACCCCAGCCCCTCACTGGGGGCTTCTAGGCAGGTGCTCTAAGGCCAAAAGATTTTTTGAGGGGATGGGGTTTCCAGACAGGGTTTCTCTGTGTAGCCCTGGCTGTCCCTGGAACTCACTCTGTAGACCAGCCTGACCTCAAACTCACAGAGAGCCGCCTGCCACTGCGTCCCAAGTGCCCAGCTGGCCAACAGGTTTTTGTGGTGGGGAGCAGGTGTTTGTGGGTTGGGGAAGATAGGATCAGCTGTGCCTGCAGCTGTTCCTCTGGCTGGGACAGGCTGGGGCAGCCTCCCCTGAGGTGAGGCTCCAGGATGGAGAAGCCCTTGGACCTTGTGGGTGAGCAGCCTAGGAAGGCTTTCTGGAGGAGGAGACTGAGCAGCTGGGCCAAGCCTCCGGATGTAGGGTCCTCACTCACGTCCTCTTGAGCAGGGACAAGCTGGCGGAGCTTCATGGAAACATGTTTGTAGAGGAGTGTCCCAAGTGTAAGACGTGAGTGTCGAATATCGAGGTTGGGGGGCGGGGCTTTGCCCAGCTTTCCCAGGGTGGGCACCCCTCCCCATCCTCATCCGAGCCAGCTCAGGGAAGGCCAGATGTCCCGGTATCCCGGGACAGGCAAATAAAAACAGAGCAACAAGGGTTGGTAGGCCAGCAGGCAAACCCTTCCTCCGCAGCCCCCCAAGCGAGGAGCTACTAAATGGGGAGACGCAAGTCATGCCCTTGGAAATGAGGGGTTCTCCTAGCCCTGCCCCTGCTGTGGCTCCCTGTTACGTGACAACGTGCTGTGCACAGCAGAGCCTCAGGGTGTTAGGCAAGAGCTAAGGCCCCTGAGCTTTGTTCTGGGGCAGGTCTCCCAGAACCTGTGCTTAGCTCCCGGGTCCCCACGTCAACCTCACTGTGCGGGGTAACAGGCCTGCCCCACCGTGCCCTCCTTGTTACAAGGTTCTGGTGACTGAACTCAGAGCCCACACTAGCATGCCCAGCACTCTGTCTGTCTGTCCCTCGGCTGTTTGGCTTGCTCTGGGGTTCGGGGGTTGAGCCTGGTTAGGTTACACCACGCCAGTGCCTCGAGAGACATTAGAAGCCCACACTCTTCCTCCTGTACAGGCAGTACGTGAGGGACACAGTTGTGGGCACCATGGGCCTCAAGGCCACAGGCCGGCTCTGCACCGTGGCCAAGGCGAGGGGCCTTCGGGCCTGTAGGTGAGTGACTCTCCTCACAGCCTACACCGGTCGGGAGGTGAGGGCCCCCTGACTAACTTCCCTGACCTTCCACAGGGGGGAGCTGAGGGACACCATTCTGGACTGGGAGGACTCACTGCCCGACCGCGACCTGACGCTCGCTGACGAGGCCAGCAGGTGGGACTGGGTGGGGACCGGGACGGCTGCATAGACTTCACAGGAGGTCCGGACTCGGGGTGCCCCCCATCACCCACCTCCGTGGGCGGGATGGGTTCAGAGGAAACCCTGAGACACAGGGCGGTGGGAAGGTTTGTTTGCGTTCCTGTTTTCGGGGGTTTTGTGCTAGTGGGGAGAGTACTGAGCTGAGCCTCCTGTGCACTAAGCGAGTCCTCTGCACGGCGCCAGCGCCTTGTTGGGTTCCGGTGGTTCTAGGCGAGGCTCCACCCTGACCATGCCCCAGCCCTCGCTGGGGAATTCTGGGCGGGGCTCCACCCCGGCCACGCCCCAGCCCGCAGTGGGGGGGTTCTGGGCGGGGCTCCACCCTGGCCACGCCTCAGCTTTGAACCCTCCAAGCGGCCGGCCGGACCCTTTGCCTTTCTTTTTTGAGATGTCTCAGTGTGGAGGGGGTGGGGGCGTAAGCTCACTAGAGATCTACCTGCCTTTGCCTCCCGAGCGCTTCTAGACCTGACTGAAAGCGTGGAACTGCTGAACCTCCTGCCTCGGCCTATGGAATACCCAGGACAACAGGCCTGTGCCACCCAGCCTGGTTGCCATTATTTTTTAAAACACTGGATAGTGGTTCAGAGTGGACACGAAGACTGAATCTCGGCTCCCAGATACTTCCGATCCCTGCTGGGTGCGCCGAGGGCTGGAGCCTGAGGTGGGCCTGAGCCCGCTTTCTGCTTCCCGCTGCAGGGCCGCAGACCTGTCCGTCACCCTGGGCACCTCGCTGCAGATCCGCCCCAGCGGGAACCTGCCCCTCGCCACCAAGCGCCGCGGGGGCCGTCTGGTCATTGTCAACCTGCAGCCCACGAAACACGTAGGTGCCAGCGCCCCGCCCCGCGCCCCTGCACCTCCTGCAGTGTCCCCCGCCCGGCAGGCCTGACCGGCCTTCACTCCACGCAGGACCGCCAGGCCGACCTGCGCATCCACGGCTACGTGGACGAGGTGATGAGCAGGCTCATGAAACACCTGGGGCTAGAGATCCCCGCCTGGAGCGGGCCCTGCGTGCTGCACAAAGCCCTGCCGCCCCTGCCGCGCCCGGCGGCGCCCGAGCCCCCCGCACACCTCAACGGCTCCTACAAGCCCGACCCCGACAGCCCCGGACCCCACAAGCCGCCCAAAAGAGTGAAGACGGAGGTCGCCCCCAGCTGACCCGGGCGTGGGGGCGGGAGGTGCGTGGATGATCACACGTGTAGACGGTTTTAAGTTTATAACCTGGGGACCTGGGCCCCGGGCTTGCACGGGCCATGCCCCGGCCTTTTTCAGATTTTTCTTTGAGACCAGGGCTCCCGAGGTTGCTCCGGCTGGCCTCAAACTCACGACTGTAGCCCAGGCTAGTCTAGAGCCGTGCCTGCCTCAGCCTCCACAGCAGACGGGACGGCAGGTGGCACCACCATGTCCTGCACAACGCCTTCCTTCCCAGTCTCACTGTGCCCATGTCCAGGTTTCTCGGGGCACGGGGAGTCCCACACTTGGAAGAGGCCGTGTCCCAGGATCCACGTGCCTCTCCATGAGCCACACCCCGCTGTGACTCAGGATGTGCCGGGAGCGGCAGCCACACACTCCGCACCCCCCTTTTCTCCCCTCCCACCCGCCCCTCACCCTGACCCCACCTGGACACAGAGCCGCCAGGGACCCATCTATGCATAGAGAGACAAGGGCCCTGGGTTTCTGAGAGCACCCTTGCAATAAATAGAGAATTCCTTCCATTTCTTTTCAGTTTTGTTACATTTAGTTACTTCATTTGTGCATGCGTGTGTTCGCGGCATAGGGTCATGTGTGGAGCTCAGTGGACACTTTGAAGGGGTCAGTTCTCTTCTACCGTATGGCTCCTGGGAATGGAGCTTAGGGCATCAGGCGTGGCCACACCTGACCAGCTGAGTGCTCTCGCAGCCCCACCTGAAAGCGTTAGGCTGCGCACCCGGCCCCCACACGGAGTTCTGGAGGACCTGAGCGCTCAGTCTTTGGGGCAGGACCCGGAGAAATGGCCAGGTGCTGGGGATGGGAGCTCTTAGTTGAGATATCCGCTGACCGCTAGTGAGGTGGGACCGGGCGCGCGCCCAATCAGGAGCACCGACATCGGCTCTGTCCAGTCAGCGCAGAGCACAGAATCATGATTCTGCCCCGAGAGTGGCAGTGGGCGCCACTCACTCCCCACCCCCACTTTCCCACTTGTAGTGGCAGCTGTATGGTGCAGAGACGCCTCAGAGATCTTGTTCACTATGAAGGCATCTTCATAATCAGTCCAAATCCTCACCTGGACCGGAAAGTCCCCTCCGCAGTCCTGAGAGACAGTGTGAACCCAGCAAAGTCTGCATGCAGCTGTTATCTTTCACGGCACACCCTGGACACAGCCATCGGTGCCAGGGCAGAGGTCAGGTTTGCAGGTCATGCTTCCTGGGCCTCTGGGTCCTCTCCCGGAAGCTCGGGCCCCACCAGGTGCCCAACCCTGTTTCCACATCTCCCGCTGCCGCCCAGCGGGAAATTCGCTGTTCTTCCTTGGGAAAAGCTGGGCAGGCCAGGCTGAATCCGGGTCAAACGTTCTGCTTCCCTCTGGAACAGCTAGACCCGCAGAGGGAGGGCCGCGAGCCGGACTCCCAATCTTAGCTGGGGTTTGGAGGAGTTTTCCATTGTGTAACAAGTGGCAAAGCCCGCGGTGATACCGCGGTGTCACAGCCCTTCAGCTACGCCGCTGTGCCAGGATGGAGGCCCTTAGGTCTAGCGGCTGCTTGTGGGGGTCAGTGGAGCGGGCTTCAGCAGTGACAGAGGCAACGAAGCTAAAACCGGGTCCAGGGGAGGCTCCTTTAGGGAGGAGGGGAGCCCTTCTTTCCTCAGACGCCCGTGGTGGAAGGCTGAAGAGAGAAGGTTTATTTCCTGAATCGGGGACGTTATAAGCCGTGGGCAGTGGGAGGTTTCCGGGGAGAGTGTGTCTGATTGGCTGGGGCGAGGGGTGCCAGGCACACTTCATCTACACGGGGCAGCACAGTCCTACCATAGCGGAAGGCAGCACTTCCTTATCCTGTGGGCGTGGGGGTTGGGAGAACTGCTACAGCAGTTAGAGGTATGGGAAAAGGTCATTAGTTGAAAGTTAAGATCTCATTAGCATATCGTGGAATCCCAGGAATTCCAGATGATTGCTGAACAGGGTCTACTGGAAGAAAGGGAGTTGAGCCTGTTTTTTCCCTAAGGACAAGTGACAGCAGGCTTTCCCGACGTCAGGCCAAACACACTGGAGAGAAGCCTTCCGGGTCACCACTCCACAGACACGGGCTATCACACACAATGTAAGGAGTGTGGGAGGCCATTCATCAGCCATCCCTCAACTTCTCCAAGACAGGATAGTATGCGCTGAATGTCAACAGTGCAGGAAAGCCTGCATTCATGTGCAGTCTTTACCAAGACAGGAAAGGGCACCAGAGAGAAACACAGATGTCAGCTGTGTGAGAAAGCCTTCAGGTGAAGTCCACACAGGAAAGCAGCCGTGTGAGTGTCAGCAACGTGGGGAAAGGTTCAGTTAGCCAGTATCCTGTAACTGGTCTTTGATACTTTGTGTGAGAGAGAGACCCCTGAATCTAATTTCTTCTCTTATTGTTTCTTCTTTGAGCATGACTACTAACAGACCACAACCAATGGCCGCTGTTCTGGGACCACCAACCCCACCTCCAGAGGGTATGCATTTATATACCCTCTGAAAAGTTCCCAGAATTGCAAATGTCACACAGTCGAAGAAACTATCTGCAGCTGGCAAAACCACCCCTTGCTAGAGTCCGAGGCAAATCATAGTCAGCTGCTACCGTCAAAGAAGCCCCATATCCCCACACTTGGGATTTAAATGAAAACACCTTCTTAGAATATGTGTTTTTTTAAAGTAACCAAAAAAGTATTTCCTTTATGTGTGGGGGTGTTTTACTGTATCTGTTAACGCCTCATGTTAACAGGGCCAGAAAGGGGCATCAGATCCTCTGGAACTGGAGTTACACATGGCTGTGAGCCCCCATGTGGTGCTGGGAACTGAACCCAAGGCCTCCGCAAAAGCAACAAGTAACTGGTGAACCATCTCTCCTGTGTGCACACACCACCACCATTTTTCAGATAGGGTCTCGTGTAGTCCAGGCTGGCCTTTGCTACATAGTGAGATACATGAGAATTTGTCTAAATCGTAGAATAATAGTCAGAGCTGTGTAGATGTTTCGGTGGGCAAAGTTCTGTGCAAGCATGGGAACATGAGCTCTGATCCCCAGCAACTAAGTAAAAGCCAGCTGAGGCTGTGAGCGTCTGTAACCCCAGTGCCGGCTGGACAGAGATAGGAGGATTCCCTGAGGCTCAGTGGACAGTCAGCCTGAGGGAAGCCATGACATCCAGGTTCAGGCAAAGACCCGGTCTCAGAAACTGAAGAGGGGCTACGGAGATGGCTCAGTGGGTAAGGGGGCTTGCTACACAAGTGTGAGGACCCCGCACCACATGTGGCCTTGTGGCCTTTGACCCCAGCGCTGTGGGAGTGGAGACAGGAGGATTGCTGGGACTTGCTGGCTGCCAGCTTACCCTAGGTGCATCAAAGGAATAAGGCTGGGTGGACCGATCAGGACGCCAGCGTCCTTCTCTGCTCTCCATGCATGCACAAGTGCAGGCCCCTCTAGTGCACATGTGTGAGCATACATGAACACACAAAAGGTGAAGGATAGACCAGAGCACCGTTGTTGGCTCTGGTCTCCGTGTGTTCACACATGCACGCCCTCACAGGAACACATGACTGGGGCTGGGATTTCCCCTCCCGGGGCCCCCTCCTCAGATGCTTATGAAGTCCCCCTGTGTCTATGAGCACAGTGACTGCAGGGCGGGATCCAGAGCAAGATGTTTGGGACTTTGTCCAGACTGTGCCGTTATGTAAGCACTTGAACAGATGCTGTGTAGTCAGTGTTAGGATACATGCATGGGCTGGGGAGATTGCCCAATGGTTAGAGCACACAGATCCAAAGCCCTCTTCCAGCCTCAGTGGGCAATAGGCATACAAGTGGCACACAGACATTCATGCAGGCAAAACTCCCATGCACATAAGATAAAATAAAATAACAAATAAACTGTCATTAAAAGAAACAACCACTGGGGGCTGGAGAGACAGCTCAGCAGTTAAGAGCACCGGCTGCTCTTCCAGAGGTCCTGAGTTCAACTCTCTGTCTGTAGCTTCAGTTCCAGAGGGTCTGACACCCTCACACAAACACACATGCAGGCAAAATACCAACGTACCTGAATTGAAAATAAATTTTTATAAAACAACAACTATTAAGAGAAAATTTTAGTTTTTTTTAAGAATAATGTACTTTTTTAAAGACTATTAAATTTGTCTACATCAACACACACATAAACCACACTGACCTTATAGTCCAAAATATAAAGTAAACACAGTATAGCTGATAGCTGGCATAGTACAGGACAGGATGTTTATTAACTTTTTCATCAGAAGCTTAACAAGAGATTAAAGCCCTCTGACTCTGTACTGTGGCTCTGGCACGGGAGAGGCAACAGCAGGGTTGAGCTGGGTTGGGCTTGCTGGCAGAACAGTCATCCAGCAAGTGTGACAAGGCCCTGGCTTTGATCCACAGCGCCCCCAAAATGAAAGAACAAGAGAAAATGAAGATGGTGCCATAGTCATAATTGAAAAGAGCTGGAGAGATGGCCCAGAGGGAAAGGGTGACCACTGCTCTTATGGTGGACCTAGAGCATTCCCAGCAGCCACAGGAGGTGGCTCACACCCATCAGGTCTATGAGCTCTGACCCCTCTGGCCTCCAAAGGCAATGACACTCATGTGCACAAACCCAAACAGACACACATATAACTACAAATGAAATAAAACTTTATATATATATATATATATATATATATATATATATATATATATATATTGAGAAGGCCAGGTGTGTTTTGTGCACGTGCATAATCCCAGAACTTGGGAGGCAGAGGTATGGGGATGGATGGGGCTGGGGGTGGACTGAAGCTTGAGTCTCCTTCAGCTACATAGTGGGATCCTCCCTCAAGGAGCTTGTAGGGATTTCTGCCTCCTCAGAGGGCTCACAAAGAAAATAGATGAGGTGACACAGCTAAGGTTTTTCCAGGTCCTCCAAGGAAGAGGGATGTGCTTTTTTCCCACTCACCAGAGGATGCTTCTTATGAGCATGATGTTCTATGTGGGTTGAGGCCACGGTCCGAGGCTTTGCTTGTCCAGCACCCCACCACCATTTCACACTCCAGCAGTGGTCCCTTGCAGGTGCTTTCTATCATGATTTTTCACATCCTCGAAGGGATGGAATAGAATGAGGGCTTTGCCACACTGCTGGCATTCATAGGCTCTCTCCCCGGTGCGTGTCCTCATGTGGATGCTGAGGGATTTGGAAAAGCCAAAAGCCCTCCCCCACCATGCACATGTGTGTGGCTTTGCGAGCGGTACATCTTCAGGTGCCTTTGGAAGTAGGCATGAGAGCTGAAGGTTTTCCCACACTGCTCACATAGCAGGGACTGGTGCCCAGTGTGCGTCATCAAGGACTCGGGATACCTGAAGGCTCTGCCGCACTCCTTGTATCCATAGGGCTTCTCCTTACTGTGTGGTCTTCCATGCTCCCTGAGGGATGAGTAGCAAGAGAAGGCTTGCCCACAGTGTGGACAACACAGTATGGCTCCTCTCCAGTGTGTGTCCTTGTGT